ATTTTAAAGATGAGTATTTAGTGTATCAGTTGTAACTGAGTTCTTCATATTGTGAGGGCTTTTCCCTTGCTATGTATCCTGAGAGAAACATAATCATGGTTCCTATAACATTAATGGGGTTATTTTAATTCTTGGTTTATATAAACCTTCCCCCTTGCTGTGAAAAAACTCTTTTTGCTGACTATTATAACATGTAGAAGGATGAAAGAGGTTGAAGCTGTTATGATTAATCCATTTTACACAAAACTTCTTGGAATAACAGTATACTTTGAATGCCCCTGAAGTTTCATACCAAAGATAACTTCCCCCTTCCACCTAATTTAGGATATTATCCTTCCTGTATCTGTCCTTTCTTATATCACATCAATCCATAGCAAAAATACTAGAGATTAGGCATGCTTTCTCTGTTTATCATGGGGTTTTGAGGAAGACCCATCTCAATTTAACCTTTGCTAAATGCAGATTATTTGTTCTCAACAATTCTCCTACATGACTGCAGTGAGATCTGGAGTGTGCAGACCCATAGCTGCTGCAGGAAAGGTCATACTACTTGGTGTGACCTAAGCATGCTCACAGAGGGCAGGTGCAGATACTTTCATTCTGTCTTTGAGATGGGTAAAACTGCCACTGGGAGTAATGTCAACAGCTTACTAAATATTCCCATATCCAGAGATCGTGTCTCAGCACACTGGCTTTCTGGATGATCTTTCGGTAGAAATCAGTGTCCCTCCCCTCTAGTTATCCTAGAATCATAGGGATATTGCTCTGAACCTCCCACAGCTTGTATGAGTGTATGGAAAATGACCCTAAAGGAGAAAGAAATTACTTGGCATCACCCATCTTCCCCTACTTCAAGGCATAGTAATTATGTCGAATAACTAATGCAAGTACCAGGGTTGACACAAATTAGGTATGTGTTGCACAGTACATTCCTTTATAGCACACACTTCATATCCCTAGAGCATTTAATTGGCACTCTTTAGGTATGTGTGGAGGATCATGCCTTCTGTTACTTACCAGGTGATGTCATGATAGTTGTCACATATTCCCACAAAACTGAAACTGGATTATTTTAGTTCTCTTCCCATTCCTACATAATTGACAAAATCAATCTGCTGTTTGTTCAGAGAATAGCAGTTTTTGATGAGCTGTGTGTCTGAGTTCTTGCTCTGACTATCTGTTCTTGGTGTTCCTCTCTTGAGAAAAAGCTGTTTAGATTAGCTGGGTTTATGTTTGCTGGGTCTAAGTGGGCCCTTCTGACTATATTGACAGTTATCCTTTAGCACTCTGTATACTTGGTATTCCTGAGTGTCTGGATTCCCTTTGAAATAAATTTTACTTGTTTATGGCAATCTGAAGGACTCCTTGCCCTCTTAGATCCAGAATGACAGCCTATAGCTCACATACACCCTGTGAATACAGTTTACACAAAGAATCAAAATTTACAGGGCAATCAAGCTAGGCTGCAGCTTTACAATGGAAAAGTATTTTTTTCCTGAAAACCTATGCATCATATCTCCACATCTCTTAAAACATCCAGAAAGCGTGATTTCAGCTGTTTGAAAGATGACACTGGAGAACTAAGCTCTTAGTGGGACATTTTGCCAACAGTAGATACTACTAATGCTCCAATTTAACACTTGCACGGTGACCTGTAAATTCACAAATGACAAATCATGTCTTACTCTCTGTCACACTGACAGCTACAGCGTGTTCAAGTTAACAATGAGAAATAAAATTATGATGGCAGCATGTTTTCTTTGACAGCTCATGTAATCTGGAACTTGTTCAGTCTCTATGGTTCTGCAAAAGAGAAGCATGGTAATATTAGAGACCTTCTGTGAAAGATCTCAGTTAAGAGTGATTACTTCAATAGAGGTGACATGGGATTAGTTAGATAATAAGATGTATTTTTTTTAAAATAATTAAGTGATTTTTTCTGCCAAAATGTTGATGCAAGATTTGGATTTGTCTTGGGTTTTAAGCTATTTCCTGTAAATAAATGCACCATATCTTAGGGAGAGCTGTAGTAGGTACGAGTCTGTGCCGAAAGTAGACAGCAAGTTTTGTAAGAAAAAGAAAAGCAGTCATGGGAATTCAGAATATCTACCTCTTGATCACAGAGGCAACCGTAGCATAATGGGGAAGAATGATAAACAGAAGAACTGAACTCGACAGCTCCTCCACAGAGCAAAGAAACGCACTGTCTGTGTAAGATGTGCCTCTGGTGTGTCTGTATGGCTTTGTATAAAGGTCTCATATTCTTTTTTTTTTCTTGCTGGGAATGAATGAGGCAGACAGCTCACAGCTCAGGGACTGTAAGGTTGTCTACATTACTGTCTTGGCGAGGAGGAGTTTCTGGTGAACTCAGAGAGGAGCTGAGAGGCTGACAGTCTCTGCAGACTCTGGACAGTCAAGGTGACATGCATTTGGCCATGACAGAGAGAAGGCAAAATCACCTCACTGAGATCAGGGAGAATATATCTCTCTGTTTCTACTCACATCTAAGTAAATCTATTTTGAAAACTTGCACTCAGTATATGTAAGTGCTGAAAATAAAGAAGCCTGGACACATTATGTAAGTACAGACTGTTAGATCTATCTCTGTTTAAAAGGATTCAGTAATATTTCAGCTTTTTTTTTTTTTTTAAATATATAGAGGTACAAAGAAAGGCACTTTGCTGAGAACACTTCCTCAGCATCCTCCTATTGTAATTTGTGCAGTTATTCTTGTAGGCTGGATACAAGTCTGTTTCTTTATCATAAAGAGGTTTGGGTTACAAGGGACCTTGAAGATAATCTAGTTTCAAACCCCCTGCCATGGACAGTGACACCTTCAACTAGACCAGGTTGCTCAAAGCCCCAGACAGCTTGGCCTTGAACACTGCCAGGTATGGGGCATCCACAACTTCTTTGGGTAACCTGGTCCAGTGCTTCAGCACTCTCGATCTATATTTATCTACCTATCTCTATCTTTATCTGCCTAGAGGCTAAGAGAATACAATTTCAGATAGAAATCAAATAATCCCTCTTGTCCTCACTGTCTACCCCACAATGCACTTTTCCAATCCATGATTCTACTTTTCCTACGTGTTCTGCTCTTTCACAATTTCAGTGGAGCTGTTGCCTTTAATAAGGGAATAGTCTACTCAAAATACCCTTTAGGTAGAATGCCCAGCCTTGCAAATACAGGGCATGGGCACTGTCTGGGGAAAACCATGCTCTATAATTTTACCTTCATATTCCTGCCACACAAAGGGAAGTCAGAAGGTTTCCTTCACTTCCAAGGGAGAGAGTTTTTCCAGTCAATATTCTCCAAACCTCACTTCCTAGATCACAAAAGAAGGTTTCCCCATGAACTGGAGGAAAATCCCTCACCTGCTGAGCAGCAGGGATGGAGGGGAAGAGCTGTGGAGTTCAGGGACCAGAGGAACTGGACAACACACAAAATACAGAAATTCTTTCTAGTGCTCCTGGGCTGTATGTTTTCTGTTGATCTGTCTTCAGAGATAAAGGGACCAGTATTAAATTAATCAGGGCAGTTTGTGTGTGGAAGAGCAGAACTAATTAGGACTGTGTGGGAATGCAAGTATAGTAGTGGGAAAATCCTGTATATTAGGAACCTGCATTGGATGAGCTGGAGGATTGTCCAGTTATAAGACTCTTTGGTGCTTTGGGGGAATGGAAATGCCTTTTTTTTTTTTTTTAGATGATAAGGAGACAGAACAGGATGAAGTAGGTAGAGCAAAGAAAGAATTGAAAGGAAACTATTCCTAAGTTTCTCTCACATTTCTTCATCTGAAATTCATTCCCCCCTCCCAGGATTCTTGCCCTTTTTCCATTTTTAAGGCAAAGGGAATTGAAAATGGAGTAAGAGGTAGAAAGTGCCTTACCTTTTTCCCAAATCCGAGGGCCAGTGTCTCCCTTCCATTTCCATACATTGGCATTAAATACATAGGACTAGAGTGTACGCTCTGTTATTTTCTTTCTTTGTATAAACTTTAGTAATGGGGAGAGAGGAGCTACAGATAAGCCACCTCAGCAAAGGGTTGTCTTCCTCTGCTGAAGGAGACTGTGTGAAAGGTTTTACTCCACTGCTGAGATTGCTAATTCACTCATTTCCAAATCAAACCTGCTATGCAAAATTGAATGCAGTTGTTCTCAGGGAGTCTTGATGTTAGCAAATATAGACTGTGTTTATATATGCTCATTCATACATATTTGTTTCTTTGTATGTCAGTATTTTGAACTTTATGACACATTATGTTATGCAGTAAATTTTGTTTTAATTGGGTTTATATAAATTTGTTCAGAAGGCCCTCTGACCCTGTCTAAGAAACACAAGTATTATAATATTATTATAATAGTCTGATGTCTTAAGTTTTGTAATGTAAAAAACTTGTAACTACATAAAGAGAAGATTGAGGCAATAATGTTCTCTCAAAATGAGAAAAAAAAGGAAGCACTCGTAAAATGAGAGGCAAGCTACACCAGGTGTTTTATTTATACTTTGATAATATTTTTCTCTCAGATTAAGAGCCCTAGCTACTGGGCTCTTCAATTCCTACGAGATATCTTTGGCAAAACCTCCAGACTTTTAAACCCCTGATTTATATGTACATATGCACATTTTAAAAACACTTTCTCAGTACTATAAAACCTACAAGAAAGAAAGAAAGAAAGAAAGAGACAGAAAAAAGAAAGAAACAATCAGCCCTTCTCCAAATTTTAATGGGCTGCGAGTCTTTCCAATGTAGGTGGGCGCATGCTGCTTGGCCACTCAGCCCTGTCCTGTGGAGGACCTGATGTCTTCCATTTGTTCCCCTCTGCATTACATTTCCTGAGCTCATTTGCAGCTGTCTCCATTATTCACAGCTCTGAACTGATGAAAGGAGAAAAGAAAACATATGTTTTATCTGTATGTTAACTGTGAGAAGGTTTCAGGCGGAGCGGTGGGCAGGAGAGCTGTGGAGATGGTGATCCTTGCTGTTGCCTTGCAGGAATGTCAGCTCTGCTGGAGAGGAGGCCCGCAGAAGAATGAGGGAGTGTGATGGCCTGACAGATGCATTGCTGTACGTGATCCAGTCTGCTCTGGGGAGCAGTGAAATTGATAGTAAGGTTTGTCATCTTTGTCTTTTCAGGAGCAAATCCAGGTATTCGAGTACATGAGAACTATAAAGTGACAGGTTTTTTGTGCTTTTTTTTTTTTAAAATGCATTATGAGGGATGACTTAGCAAAGCATAATTTAGCCCATCTTTTCTTTTTCCTTCTGCTGATCTGTGTATTTTTGTGTGCTAAGCATTGTATTTGTGTATACCTGTAGAGTGTGCACAGGTAAGCATGTCATCCTCTCAATTGAATTATTGAAGTAGAAAATATGGTGCTGGTTTAAGAGCAAATATGTCATTCCATGTGAAGTTCCTTACATTGCTCCGCCAGTTTTACCTTAAAATTCATTTTCAGTACAATTTTAAGTTACCTTAAAATTGATTTTTTTAGTAGTACAGAGCTAATAACAGTGAAGTAGGCTTAGAAGGCAAACAAGAAAAAAAATTGGCTAATTAATAGGCAGTTTTGCAGTAAAGCAAACATTATTTCTTCTTTGAGAAGGATCAATGAATGCTTTCAATAACAACTGTGTTAAGATCCCTCATTATGTCAACTTTACTTCTCTGAAAGTACTCGGTTATGAACAAGCTTCTCCAAAGGTGAAAGATACTGCCTAATTAAAGACTCCAAACATTTACAAACTGAAGATTTGTAATACATTAAAGTATTACAGAGAAGAAGAAAAAGGCCAGTTTCTTTTGCTTTCAGTATACAGTGCTAAATTAATTACAGTTGCTGCTCTAGGGCAACCTTGGTCCATTTGCAAACCCCTAGGAATTGCAGGAGAGCAGTCTTTTATGCAGCAAGGTTTTAAAGTCCAGTGGGTTTGTATTTCCAAATGATCCTTCATGGAGTTGTACATGAACCTCTGTGGGTTTATAGATCCAAAAGGGACAATCCCCAGAAATCCCTGGTCACTAACCTGAATCAAATAGGTGAAAATTGCCTGTGAATTTAGGGGACAGAGAGGAATTAAGAGAGGTGCCTGGGCTAGCAGTATGCCTTTGGGTTTTTTTAAAGAAAAAAAGCACCCCAAAAATTCCCACAACCCATTAGTCTGTAATCTGATGAGGAGTACAAGGAAAAAGTGCAAAAGTACAAGTAAAGAAGGAGTGAAATCTGTCCACCTGCGTGGTTAGAACCAGCTTTCTTGGCTTGTAAGGGTTCACCTTAGTGAAGAAGCTGTTGGTTTCATTTGAGCCTCAGAAGTTTGCTCCTCAGTTTTAATTTGGGGTAAAATTTTCCTCCTGATGGACTCAGCTTATGTTTTCCACAAAATAAGAACTTTAAATGCAAAACCTATTATTTTTAAAAAGAAAAATTAAAGTTTAGAATCCTAATCAACAAATGCAAAGCTTCAATACTGTGGCAAAACTGAACAAAATACATGTATGAGTATGTTAAAGAAAAGTCAAAAAGGCAGCAAACTTTTTAAAATAGTCATGGTCACTGTAATGTCTGGAAAGCTTTCAGCTGCGAAAGGTGCTCTAAGAACACTTTCTACACACATGTACACATATATATTTTTTACATGTTTTTATGTCTTTGGCCAGAGATTTCAAATTTGTACAAGTGTGTTGTGAAATTTCATCTATGTTAAAAAATAGATTAATAAATATTCCTGCATAAATGAATCTGAATTAGTTATTGTCTCTGGAACTTAGAGTCATCACAAAAAATGTGTGCTGAATGCATACCTGGCAGAAGCTCATCCAGTATATGAAAGTAAACGATGCCCCATCTGTTTGCCTCACTGGTAAATATGGCAGAATACGATAGAGCTGAAAGCCTCACAGTTATTCTGTTCTGGGTTAATGGAGCAGCAGTGCTGGGATGTAGTGACTATTGCTTTTTATCTCCAGGGAGCCTTAGAAACAGTTGAAATAAATATAAATAGATGGAGAATGGCTTTTTCAACCATACTTTCCCTGCCTCCAGAAAATTAAGCTCATATCCTTCTTATTAGGGATAATCAAACCCAAATTGAACCAACTAAATGAGTAGGTTTCAAGTCTAAACTGAACTTCTTTTAGACTTGCAGAAATTATTTTGAATTATAAGTGAATTTTCTTCCACTGGTTCTCATCCATTTATGGATTCCTGCTTGCATCTTCTATAGAAGGCACAACCTATTAGGGGGAAGAATGGATGAAAGGGAAAGGCTGCACACAAGGTATCCATCTGCTAGAAGCAGTAATAGTAGCAAGACTCTCAAATTTCTAGTTTTACTTCTTGGACTCGAGAAACGTCATCTGTTCTTGCTACAGGTACTTGTGAAATGGAACTCAGATCCCATTTTTCTAGTAATTTACATAGAATTTATGCCAGGAAAAAAAGGTTATTTCTGGCTTTAAAAGTACGAAACTAAACACGGAACCTATTACCATTTTCTGTTTGTAGCATTTTCTATTCATTGAGGTGGGAGTTTGCTGACATTCTGAGTGTTCAGATTCTCTAGATCGCTTTTTACCTCAACATCTTTTTCACATGGGACTCCACTGTGAAATTTAGAATGACAATTAAAAAACTCCCAGAAAAATATTGTCCAGACTACTGATTTGCTACCATAAAATTTTCTAAATATCTTAAACTGGGGAGCGCTCAGAATTGTGCTGGGAAAATGTATGTGCAAAGATAGATGAAATTCCTTCTGCTTTGTATACAAAGTGAACAAGGGAAGGATTTTAACTTTTTTCTGGTTTTGTTTTCTGTATTTTTCTTTTTGTCATACTTTTCAGACCGTTGAAAACTGTGTGTGCATTTTGAGGAACCTCTCATACAGGCTAGCTGCAGAAACATCTCAGGGACAGCAGATGGGAACAGATGAACTTGATGGATTACTCTGTGGTGATGCCAATGGAAAAGACACAGAGAGTTCAGGGTGCTGGGGGAAGAAGAAGAAGAAAAAGAAATCACAAGATCAGGTAATGAAAGTTACTTGCAGCTGTGTTGTGAGTAGTTACAGTGCCCATCATTTAAAATATAAATAATTAATGCACTGTATTAGAAATAAAGTGCATGATGCATAATATACCAAACTGTTGACTTTGTTAATTAGCTGAGAGCTTAAAGTGGAATATGGCTCTGGAGTAATGAAATATGTTTGCCTGACAAAGTTGTACATTGTGTGGTGCACCTGGAAACTGTAGTCATGAGTATGCTTTGAATGCCATACATACTGTAAATGCACTATTAAAGGAAGCCATTTATTATGAAAAGTGTAATCTGCATATACTTTACACTGTACTTCCACATAGCCCCATGTGTGTAGAAAGGCCTTGATGGAAGCAAACATCAGGCTTATATTTTTATACTTATATGCTTCCAAGTTAGTCTTGTACTGTGCCTCTTTGTGTTGGAAGAAAACTGTACAGAACTGAATCAAGCAATATGAGTGAATGTTAAAAAAGCATATATTTTGAGATATTTAATATTGTTACCAAACAAAGATTCAAAAGTAGTCTTGATAGTTTCCTCAAGTTATTTGAGGTGCTGTAGGTTATTATTTTGGGTGGGTTGATTTTCAGAGTGTATTTATCTCCATTTTTTCCCATTAAGAACTTAGAATTTGGGAAATGCTGACAGTTATATTGCAGAGAAAGACATTGTTGTATCAGTACACACACTAAACAGCAATAAGAATGGCTACTGCTCTATGAGCTTTTCTAGATGGCCTATACTGGCAGCAGGTAATTTTCCATCTCTTCCTACACTTAGTCACTTTTTTGCATTTTAATTTATTTCTGTTTCAGATTGCTCAAAGAAAATATGTATTTGAGTAAGCAATTAGGTGCACTGGGTATTTGAATAAATTATGTAAACTGGTACTGAAAATATTCATGAGTTCATAAAGCCAAATTGTGTTAATGTGGAAAAGTTATAGGAACATTAATAAGCTAAAATTTGGTTACTGGAAAGTGCAGCACTCCTGACTAGTAAGACTTTAATTTCCCCTACTCTTCTAGTTAAACACTTCAGTCATCAGATAACTTGAATTTATTATGGCCTTTTATTTGGATTCCTATATTAGTATGCAGTGAGATTAAAAATGCCAAAGCAAACTAATTTTACTCCATAAAGCAGTCATCATCCCTGTTCCTGAATTAACAGTTCTCACACACTATGCTTGCAGTTATTCAAGGTGCAGGAACAAAAAATAGCATGTCTGGATATGAATGAGTCACACTACAACTTGTCTTGGTCTTTGATGCTCTGTTTATGAACGCATGTGCACACACACTATGCAAAGTCTTTTTTAAGTCTTCCTTTTATATTTCTTCTGTGACTTTTGGATCTTGGATTCATACTTTTAACTGTGCAACTGACTGTTTCAGTGTTCCTGTCAGGCTTCTCTTTACTTTAAAGGATCCCTCTAAAAGATCTTTCTCCTTCTCCAGGCCAAAGAACTAAGCTCTTTTGACTGATTACCTTTGCAATGTACATTCTTCTGCCTGCTCTTAGATATCTTTTATCTGTTTCTATGAGTGGTCATTATCAGCACACAGCATGGTAAAGGTCTCTTCAGAGCTGTTTGTGTTTCCCTAGTTGAAGAGTTTTATATAAATTTTAAAATCCAAAGAGAAGTAAAACTATGCACATATTTTCAGGTTTATGATTACTAGGCTTTTCTGTGGCAGGGATATCAATTCCGGAACGGATTTTGTGGTGCAAAGGACTGCTTTGCCTTGCAAATATCAGAAATAGTTTTTCTAATGATTTTTCTTCTTTCATGTAATTTCTTTTAAATCTGGACAGCTTATGTCATCTTGCCATATACAAGTTCTCACATGTGAATATTATTTAGTTTAGAAATTTTAAGGAGGCCTTGTGAGCCTTATGCAGGTTATTTTCACCCCATGATCCTTGACTGTTATTGACCATACCAAATGTTTTGAAGTATATTATCAAGTTAATATATTATCGAGTTAACAAGAATGCCACTAAAAACAATAGCAGTGAGATCACCGTGCTAAAAACAGCTCTCCCAGGTTACCATCAAAAGTGGAACAGCAAAACAATATTTTTCAAGTAACCGTGCATTTATATTAATAGCATAGACCAACTCAAACTGTGGTAAGGGTATATTCAGAGGCTTTTTTTATGGAAGCCATCTTGTCCAATTGTGTAAAAAAAAATGTTTTTTCTGCTTCTTTGGCTCTGTCACTGTCTTGAGGTTTTTCAGGACTACCTGTAGACTCACACTACTGTAAAGTAGGAATAACTGGAAACCCACATCATTATCTTCTTCTGTACTGTGTTGCAGGCAGGAATACCCTGTTAACTATTTCTCTGTGTGTCAAGAAAAATCAGTATTCTTGGGTGGTTTTGGGGATTTTTTTTTTCCCAGGCAATAGTCCCTAACAAACAGGGTCATCATATTGATTTCCTCAGTTTAGTTAGATTTCACCCATCTACACTAAGCTCATCAAAACCTTCTGCAGGAGGATTATTTTCCCATGTCCTTTCACAATACATTTTCTCCCTATGTGCTGACTGCAGCCCTGTGTATTGCACATGTACCTATTTTTTTTACAGTAATCTCATTGTTTTTCTTCAAGACTTTTAAATGTTTCCAAGTAATGCCTTTCATAATCTCTTTTCAGTTGCAATGCTTAAGCTGTTACCTGCTGCTTATTCTGTCCCTCAGAACAGATCTCGTGCTCTCCTTGGGATGCTATTTTTAGAGTGCTCATTCCTTTAAGTGTCTCAGCAGCTAAGCTTTTGCACTCTGAAATATCTTATAGTTCTGATGATCATGCTCATGATGGACAGTGTTTTACATGTAAATAATGAAGGAATGCCTATGGAATCTTCATAGAATGCAATGATTTACAACATCTGAAACACTGGAGGCGCTGCACACCACCATGGATTTGGAACCTATGGAAGGAAACTTCAAAGAAATGAAAGATGAGAAAGATATTATAGTAATCAGTTACGCAGATGCCCATGAAGAGAGGGCACTGAGCTTCAGGCTTCTTTTAATAGATCATTCACACTAGACAATACAAACCTAGATACCTTTTCAAAAAGTTCTTCACAAACAAAGAACCAAATATTTCCTTGGGCTCATTATTATTGTCACTTGTAGATACACGAAATGGAGTTCAGCCCTGAATTAAAACTTCAGTCATTTACCTGTGTGATTCTTTTAATATTTGAGAGTTTTAGCTTTCTGTCAGGCAAAGGTCAGGGCACAGATACACCTCTGAGCTGTGAGACCTCAGTACAGGGGAGTAGTATCCAGTCTGTGGTTGCTACATTTTATATCCCCAGAAAGTATGTGTTAAGGGCAGAGGTATTGCTCCTTTTTTGGCAGTGTGTGGGGTTTTTTAATAACAAAATTGCTGTTTCTGTCTTCCTCAGAAGATAAGGTTTACAAAGCTGGGGGGGGGGGGAAATGTTCAGATTTTAGTAAATGAAATTTTGATATTTTCTTATTACATTATTGCTATTGCTTAGTTTCTCAAGTGTGTATTTTCTTGAACTCCTTTCATTTATGCATTTATGGGTGTTTCTTTTAATTTTTAGATAAAAGTGTCCAACACTACTAGTAGCAAAACTACTGAATAATGATGAACATGAATAATAATGCCAGATGTATCAATTTAGACAAAGGATGTGGATGAAGCTGCAATTTTCCATACTTAAAAGAAAATTCCTTATACAGCTAGGGAGTGTGTTTCTTAAAACATAAAACAGGAGAAACTTGACATTTAAGTCGCTTTCTCAGTGGCTTTCTATATAATGAAGGTAAATGTTAATTTCTTTGCTTTAGGATTTAGGAAACAATTATCTCAATTTTTCTAGGTTGTGTTTCAGTCACGGGTAAGTCACTTGAAGAGAAGAACAGAACTGAGCGGTAGTATAAAATGTGGCTTCTTTCAAAGGCCTTTCAAGAACAAACTGGAATTTATTTTTCATTAATGACATTGGTTGTCTATACTAATGGCAATTTCCCTACATCTTGAAATCTAGTAAGAGATGTGTCTTTGTTCAAATCACAGTTAAGTCTAATGACACCTTTCAAATTACTTTACTTAAGGAGTTCCCTTAGGATCACAGGAAACAAGTGTTCTCCTCATTTCACAATAAAGGTGAGTGGTGTTAAAAGAGCCTGCAGTCATTCCTCTCTTCAATGGTTTAACAGAGCTCAGACAGGTTCCTGAGTCATCTGCTTTGTCACATAAATTGAATCCTAGAAGAGACCCAAACCTTTTAAAGATTTGTAATATAAGCTGGATATAGCATTGGTTTTAATTATGGAAAAACAGAAAGCAAAACTTCTGTAAAGGCCTCAGAAAAATTAAGTGAGACTCACCTGACTTTATTTCTGTTTCAGACCTCTAGGACTGTAATTCTCAGCTGTAGATGTTGTTGATTAGGTTCTCTCTGCTGCTTACCTGTGATCAGCTGTTACTGAAGCCTCACCCCAATAAGCTCTCCAGCTGTAGAGGTCTTCATTTCCGACTGGGACCTTGTAGACATCAACCTTTCTGCCTTGTATTGAAAAATCAGATGGAAACTGATTTTTCCACTGCTGAAAATTTTGTTCCTGCTGTTGGTATGCTCGCTGCTTACCAACAGGTTTATTCTTCAAGCTGTACTAGAAACAAGAATTATGGCAAAAACCAGTTAGGGAAAATAAGGCATGTGGTCCAATTTCAGTAAAAAAACCAGGAACTTGTCATTAATCCTTCTTTTATTTCTTGCTATACCACCCGTTATATATATGTGTGGCACTATTTCATTTCTTTTCCTTTGTTACCTAAGAAAATAAAGGCTGACTTTTTGGCTTCATGCTCCTCTTAAGTTCCCCATCTGTGTCATTTTTGTCAAACCAGAATCTAGCCCGAAGTCTGTTTTTTGATTGGAAGTGACACTTTTGAAATAAACCTGACCTTCTTTTTCACCTTCTGCCAGA